CAGCTGCCTTTGGTTTCAGCCTTTGCAGGCTCATGCAAGACATGCTTTGTAAGCCTCTACCTTCCCAGAGTAATGATCTTGCTTCCAAGCCCATCTACTTTTGCACAGGGTGTGGCCCAAGCTCGGTGAAGCCATCACAATGAAAAGAGCGTTGGACTGGGTCTCCAAGGGAAAAGCCGGTAAGTACCCTAGGAGGATTGGGGATGGAAGAGGCTCTACCACTTCTGTCGAGGCAGGGCAGTTCAAAGTTGAAAGACCCATCACCCACTAGTGACTATTGATCATCCCTGCAGGCACCAAGCTGCACTGTAGATGGTGCAGATGACGTTGGTACCTTCACTCAGATGCTGTCCCCCGACCCCGTCGAATCAGGTTTATCCGATAAACCTGAAAATGCAGCTGCCACAGAAGGTGCAGAAGGAGCAGAGCCAGAGTGGTGTGGGTACGATAACTGGTGGCCTGACCCTTACCATGAAGAGCCAGCTGCCGCTGGTATTGTCCGAGCCACTGCTGAGGAGGAAGCATACTGGGAGAATCAGAATGCAGAGGATTGCCAAGCAGCCATGGAAGCTGGCTACATCTGCAAGGAAGAGGCGTCAGAGGAATTGCCAGATAAGAGCTTGCCCCATGTCGCTTCTGCAGAGTGGACCTCGTGGTCGGAGGACTCCTGGGATAAGAGCTGGCAACATGGTGCTTCTGAAAATCACCGGAGACAGTCTGGTGCCAGGCTGCTACTGGCTCTTGGCAGGTGAATCCTCCTCCAGCTCCTGTGGTGCAGTCTGAATGCGAGAAAAAGATCATGCCACCAAAGATGAATCCGTCGGGATGGTTCCACAAGATGGTCCCCTTGCTGGGAGCCTTGATGAGTGGAAATATGGAGCACGCCATGGAGCTTTGCCAGAACTACTACTTGCACTCTAAAGACATGACGGAGCAAGTGGATAAGCACCTGGAGAACTTGTTGAGCCATGGCAAGGACAATAAGTATGATGGCAAGGCTTCCATCTACCCTGGCGGTAACAAGCATTGACCAGCAGCCCAGCAGCGGCCCAGAAAAAATAAAAGCGTCCTTCAAGTAAAACTAGCCTTTGCAGGCTCATGCTTGTGCTGTCATGTCAGCCTTTACAGGCTCATGCATGTTCGACCAGCCTCAGTAGGCTCACACTTTGCTTTGCCTGTTGAACTTCCCTGGCATGCACGTCAGTTTTTGCAAGCTCATGCATGTTCGATCAGCCTCAATAGGCTCACACATGGCCTTTCCTATCTAATGTTGTTAGCCTTGGTAGGCTCAATTCCTTCAGCTTTTCTTGAAGCAATGTGCAACGATAGCTGGCATCGAATAAGAATTTTCGATTCAAACGTCTGAATTAAAAATGCTTACTTAAATTTTTGGATTCAGATTTCTGAGTCCAAATTGCTTGATTAAAAATTTGGATTCAGATATCTGAATCCAAAATGCTTATTTCAAAATTTCAATTCAGATATCTGAATCGAAAATGCTTATTGCAAAATTTCGATTCAGATATCTGAATCCAAATTGGTTGGTTAAAATTTTGGATTCAGATATCTGAATCCGAAATTTATATATATATATATATTATTTTTTTCTGTAAGCTCATGATTCATATTTGTAACGGTTTCGATAATGATGTTGCCATCTGTTTTTAATTTTCAGTGGCATCTTTCCCTAGCATTCTTTCTTTACAAACCCAAACTTGCTACGTCTCCTGCTGTCAGTTCAGCTGGCCCAGCTTTTGACAGCAGCATCGGCACTGCTGTCTGCAATTCCCCTGCATCTGTGCCTTCATCGCCATGGATGTGAATCCATTGTGTTTTAGTGATGGCCTCATTTTGGACGGAGACCAAAATGCTATTGTCGTGGTCTATGATCATGGACAGCCTACGACGTATGCCTTGGAATGCCCACGTTGGATCAAATACCTCAAGGACAGGGGATTGTTGGATGCCCATTCCATCAACATGCCTTCCGTCCAGGATGCCTCCATGTCAGACACAAGCCTTCTTGAAGAACAAGAACAATGTGAGGAAGGTGTGGCCAGCTCGTCTTCAAGGAAGAGGAAGGAATGTGAGCCAGGTTTGGAAGAAAATTAAGCTTTCGTATTTGCGCAACAAGGCATGAGTGGATTTCCTTCATCCGTTCGCAGAAACAAACATGGCGGCCAACTAGAGCAGTTTAGCCTTTGGAGGCTCATCTTGGCATGGTAGACTTCAGACTTACAAGGTTCCTGTTTGGCATGATACGCGTCAGCCTTCGCAGGCTCATGTTCTTTTCTCCATAATTCAGCTAAAGTCAGCCTTCAGAGGCTCATCATCTATTGAGCGTACTTAAGCCTTAGCAGGCTCATTCATACCATGTGCGTCGGCCTTTGTACGCTCATGTTCCGCTGATTTGAACCTTTCCAGCCTGTTCGTTGGCACGACTCGCTTCAGCCTTTTCAGGCTCATGTTCTCATGAGGGCATTCAATCTTTGCAGGCTGCTGTTTCACGACGCGCAAATGCTGGCCTATGCAGGCTCATGGTTTGTTTCCTTGCTTGGCTCGCTCTTTGCACACAACGAATTGCTATCTCCACTCTCCACTTGGCAATTTGCATTAGCCATTTTGGCACCAGTTTTCAGCCCTCCAGAAGCGACAGCACGACCCTTGCCAGCATGTGGTCTTTGAGTGACTTCCAGTTGGAAGTCAACGCTACCAGTACTTTGTTGAAGGCAAGACCTGGTGAACCGCAGCTTCTGGAAGGTTTGGGGGCGAGCCTCAAGCACAAGCTCGAGCATATGAGTTTGTCTACAGCTGATGTGGTTGCTTGCTATGACCTTGTCAAGGCATGTGACTTGCCACAATGCCTGCAAACGAGCCTCCAGTCCGTTTTGGACACAAAAGCTTTGGGATCTGCGCAGTCAGCCTTGACAGTGACAACTCAGGCTCAGCAGTTTGACAGCATCCCCGCCTACTTGACACAATCAGAAATCACCAAGCTGGAAAATTGCAATCCTTTTGAAGGAGCATGTGTTCTCGCCTCCAGGTGCAAGCTGGTAGGGGTCAAAAGCTTGAAAGAAAGCACGAAGAAGGTCACGACCGCCTTGCTGATATGCTTTGACATGCAGAGGGGAGGCAGAAGACCCGAAGGAGACTGCTTCTACAGACTCTCTCAGCATGTGCGCACTACGTTTGCGAACTCTGCGACACCCAATCCTCCGGAGTGTCTCCCTCTGAAGGTGTACCCCGCGGATCCAGCAGGCCTGGGTCCCAAACATTTTCAAGCAGCTTACCCAGAAGAGAAGCCAGTGGGGTGTCAATTTGTGGGCCTGGCGACTGTCATGAAGGACAATCACGTGCGAAGTACCGGTTTGTCTCTCAGAGGCACCCCTTCTGCTGGCACAAAGAAGATGGAAGTTGTAAGTATGGGACCCCAGGAAGGAGTTCTGCAGCAGCCGACTGGAAACCTCAAGGCTTTGCTGGCAAATTTCATCAACAGAAGCAATTCGATACTTGCTGGGACTTTGGATACAGTCTTGCACATGCATCCGCAGAGCCATCTCTTTTCCAAGCAGGGAAGTGTTGACGCTTTGTCTTGCAGCAGTGGCGAGCAGCGTGGTGAAAGGATGGCTTTGGATAATGGAGCCCACTTGACTATGACCACGCCAACAGCACACACTGCTGTGGCACCTGTCACGAAAGCAAGTGAGGCTGCTAATGTGCCTGCTGCACCTTCCAACAATCTACCTGCTACTGTACCGCAGACACAGCCGCAAGCTGCTCTGGAAAACAATGAAAGAACCTTGGAAGATTGGGAAGAAGATGCTTTTGCCAAGCTCGGGAAAAAAAGCAAGCAGGTCGTGGTCTCATGAAAAGACCTGCTTCCAAACAGACCGTGGACATTCTGTCAAAGAAGCCGGTGCAGAAGAAGGCTAAGATGAAGCCTGCACCTAAGAGCAAGCCAGTGGCAGTGTATCAAGGGGGCTTGGGTTGCCTCAGATGCCGGGGCAACATCCGTGGGTGCAGTACTTGCATATCACCAGCATATGGTGGTGTTCGTTGCCATGGCAGGGCAGCGTGGCTAGCTTATATGGCTGAAAGGAAGCAGTCCAAATCCAAGAAGGGCAAGAAAGCGCCCAAGGGAAAGACAGTGTGATGCGGGGGCTGGGAAAGCCTGGCTGGGCCGATTTCTGCTTGAGGGGTTGGCAACATTGAGTGTTGCAGGGTTGCAAGCAGCCTTGGCATACCTGTCGTGCTGTACTTTGAAGTTTCTGCTTCCTCCTGGCGCTTTAGATTGAAACGAGCTTCTCTGGCATGAATGCTGGTCAGAATCTTGTCAGCCTATCCTTGCAGGCTCATCCATGAGAGAATATATTTGAAGCTTGTTCAAGCTCATGAGGTGATGGCATTCCTAACCTTTCCTGCTGCGTACTCCAAGCCTTGCAGGCTCATTCATGGCATCTTTTCAAAGCGTTCACGGGATCAGTCATGGCTCATGCTTTACAGCCTTTGCAGGCTCATGCGACAAGCTGTTCTTTCCAACAACGTTGAAGCTTTTCTAGGCTCAAGCACGGCTTTTCTTCCAACACTGCTTAAGCCTTTGTAGGCTCATGCGCGGCTTTTCCTTCCAACACTGTTTAAGCCATTGTAGGTTCATGCACGGCTTTTCCTTCCAACGCTGTTTAAGCCTTTGTAGGCTCATGCACGGCTTTTCTCTCCAACTATGTTCAAGCCTTTGCAGGCTCATTCATGGCATCTGCACCTTAGCCTTTGCAGGCTCACTGCTAGCATGTGCTTTAACCACTTCCAGACTCATTCACAGCATGTTCTCGAAGCTTTGTCACCATTGAATATGACCCAGCAATTGAGTTTCTGCATCTTCAAGACATTTCTCTTCAGTCAGTTCCTCTTGTTGAACAACCTTGTATCAAAAGAAAAACTGTATCCAGGTATTCGTAACCAAATCTTTGTTCCAAACCATGGAGAAACGCATCTTCCCCGCCATGGAAGCTAGCTCTTCCAGCAAGGCACCTACCTGCCCTGCAGACGGAAAAATTGCGAAATTGAGGAAATTACAAGACATGAGGCAGGAAATGCCTTACATGTCCAAAGCTAGCATGGAAGCTTTGCTGAAATATGTCTCTTCGAAGGGAATCCCGGAAGCCAAGAGAGCCAAAGATATGCGGGCAGCAAACCGACATTTAATCCGCACTTCAACAGCTTATGGTCCTTTGGTGTATGAAAAGAAGCTGGTTTGCACCGATGGAAGCAAAATTGCTTTGAAATTTGTCAACTATTTGACTTTTCTCTGCCATGCTTACCAAGGAGGAGGTGGCTTTCACAGGTGCTTGAACACCTTGCTTGCAAAGCACGGATCACTTTCCTTGATACTTTATTCAGATGAAATATCGCCTGGTAATCCTCTTGCAAGCAAGGTTGGACGCAAATGTTGGGTAGTATATTGTGCCATCAAAGAAATGAAGGCGCTTTTGTCTGACACCGATGCGTGGGTGTGCCTTTTTGTTTGCAGATCTTCTTTGGTCTCTACTTTGGCAGCTTCCATGAGCCAGGTGATGAGAGAGATTTTGGAAAACACATTTAGGAATCCTCTCTGTGATGTCGAGAACCTAGGCATCTTGTTGAAACAACCCGAAGGTGAAAGAGCGCCCGCTGTCCTGGTAAAGCTGTCCTTTGCTTTTTTTCTGCAAGATGGTGGAGCAATGAAATATTGCTACAGCGTGAAGGGAGACAGTGGAAGCCGCTTTTGCTTACAATGCAAAAACATTTTCGAAATCAAAGCTAAGAAGGCAGGGTCAGATTCAGAAGAAGAGCTGCCAGAAGTTTGCAAGTATGTGAAAGTCAGTCAGCTGGAGCTGGCATCTGATGAGGAAGTGTTGGCATCTTGGGCCAGGATGCAAACACGAGCTGAGAGGCACAGAGCTGGGTTCCTGTCTGCCAGTGATTTGAAGCAATGGGAGCAAGCCTGCGGCATTTCTTGGGATGAAAAAACCTTGCTGGCAAGCCCTTCGCTCCAAGGCTTGCTCAAGCCTTGCACACAATGGGTCCATGACTGGCTCCATTGTTTGCTGTCGAATGGCATTTTCGCTATCGCTACGTTCTTGTGGCTCAATTCCTTGGACATGTGGGAGACCTTGCAAGGGTACGTTGGTTTGTGGCAGTTGCCAAAGCACCAGCAAGGTATTAACATCAGTGCGATGCTGGATCCTGCAAGAGTGAAAAAGCACAAGAAAAGTGGAAAAATGAATTGCACCGCTTCAGAGCTCCTCAGCCTAGAACCTATTCTGACGCATTTTGCCCAGACTGTTGTCAAACCTTCTGGCAAGCACTTGGAGGAATGCAACGCGTATTTGAGTTTGGCCATGGTCGTTCAAATGTTCCAACACACCCACCATGGAATTTTGACACCTGATGATATCGAAGCACAGGTGGAAAAATCCTTGTCCTTGTGGCTTGCAGCTGGGTGGCAGGACCACATGATCAAAAAACACCACTGGCTTCTTCATTTCAGCACCCATCTCAGGCTGCACGGAATGACAGCCAGCTGTTTTTCACAAGAGCGAAAGCACAAGGATATTTCCAGGCATGCTGCATGCATCTTCAACACGCAATATTTTGAACAAGGTGTGATTGAGGAAGTGGTCAACCAAGAGATGCACCAGCTGTCTTCCAGCTCCTCGTTGTCCACAGAACCGAGCTTTCTAAAGCAATCTCTTTTGCCCAAAAAGCTGCTGCACATTGGCAAAGAGATTTGGCCCTTCGCAGAAAATGTTTGGACAGGACACACACTGAAGTTGTTCCCAAATGGTCAAGTCAGCAAGGGAGATATTGTTTTACTCCATGGCGGCAAAGCTGGGAGAATCCAAGTGCATTTGACCGATGGGAAAGCCTATTGTTCTTTGATTTCCCTTTTCGTCTTGGTGGAAGAGCACAAGGAGTATTCGGTTTGGCAAGAGCCAGTGGCTGCTGATGGGGCTGCACATGTCATTTCTCACACAGCTGTAAAGACTGCAGTAGTGTGGGCCCAAACAAAAGCAGGCATTGTGACTCTCACACCGCTGCCTTGGAGATGAAAACAATATTGCGTCTTCAAATTTCAGGGCAAGCCAGCCTTTTCAGGCTCAACTTCATGATCTCAACCTTGGCAGGTTGATACATGATCCATGCAGGCACTACTGGAGTTTGATGGCGCTTCAGCCTCCTCAGGCTCATGTCCATGGTTTTAAACCTTTGCAGGTTCGTCCATAATCCATGTGCATGATGTGGGCAATGTCCTGCACCACTGGTTTAATGGAAACAATATTTTCTTTGGAACAAAACATTTTAGTTTTTCTTCTTTGGGATGCGCCAAAAAAAAAATATTTGATTCACCAGCCGAGCCATGTCAAAGAGCATGTTTCACATCCACAGCCCCACATTTTGACATGATAGCTATAGCACATTGCCTTCCTTCATCACGTTCTCCAACCCTGTCAGTAGGCTTAAATGCACCCCTAAACCCTTTAGCTAACCTGTTAGCTAACCTTTGAGCTAAATGGTTAGCTAACTCCAGTAAACCTTTATTAAGCAGTTACATAAAAGCTATAATTATGTTAACCTGTTAGCAAGCGCCAGGCTGATCTAAGTATGGCACCGGCTACAGCCTGTACGTTGCTTCCTGGCTGTGAGGCGCATCCCACGGACGGCACCGAGAAGCGCTTTGCTCTCAGGCTCACGCTTGCAGATTGCAACTGCCAGTGCACTGTCGTGCTGTACCACGAACTGGTGCTGCGAGCAGCTGCACGCTCTCCGACACGGTGCACGACACTCCGGCAGTGCGCCTGCAGCTGCGGGACTTGTTCCGTGGGGCCCAGTGGCTTTGCAGATTCACTTTCCGTGAAAACGATTATCAACAAACTCTATAGAGCTAGAGTGCCGTCATCTGCAGCCGTGCTGGCGGGCCAGCGGAGCCAGTGCTGTCGTTGAGCCTGCCGCGCTCCAGCGGAAAGTTCCGCACTGCCAGTTGAACACTGGCTGTCCCGTGGCACCTTTGAACATGCTGCAGGTCGATGTGCAGTTAGGGTTGATTTGCATTGGTGACGTGGAAGCTAGTTTCGTGCGGGCTCTGGTCTCTTTCAATGACGTGACCCTGCCCGATGATGAAGCTCTTCAACAAGACAACACGGCCGTCTCAGCGATGCGGGTGAAGAGATCCGTCGATTGCCTGCTGCCTGGCACCGCCGAGACCAGCGTGACGCACCGGGCAAAGCTGCGGAGCGCTGGTCCGGCTTCGGTTGTCAATTGGATGCTGCGAGGCCGCGCAGGCGAAGCGCACTTGGTGGTTTTGGCCCACACGGAAGAAGAAGGCGAGTGGAGTGTGCTCTGGCACGTACCAGTTGGTGCGCACCGTGTGGAAGGAGCCACACGATTTCTGATGCAGCTGTACCAGTCAGAGGTGAGTGCCCCACAGACCATCACATATGATTCGACATGGACACCAATGAAACGACTCGCCGTCGTCGTCGAGCAAACGCCTAAAGAGACAACGATGGCAGAGAACGGCGCCTGAGTGGGCAATTGTGCACCGTAGTGACGTCGCCCGACGTGCTAGCTGCACTCATTGTTGACTCACTGTGGGAAGACATAAGTGAGGCCGGCGAGCGAATCTGTTGTCGTCGGCTGTCATCTCATGATTGACTCAATGTGGGAAGACATGAGAATGACGACGGCCACCGCACCTTTTGTTAGCTGCGGGACCCATGGTTGACTCAATGTGGGACGACTGGAGTCGCCACGGCTACATTAAAAATGTTCGTGACATGTCTGCATTTTGCCCCACTGTGGGAAGAAGTGCTACAGGCCTTGTCAAGATTTTGATCACGGCGAAAAGGTGGCATTCGTGCGGCAACCTGAATTTTATCCTTTCTGTATTTGTTGCTTTGACAACCCGCTCCATATACATCGCTGTCCTTTTACGGCCAGGTACTTTTCCGTTCTGGTATCGTCACCGGGCCTGTGACCTTAGGGCAGGCGCGGTTTTCTTCGTAGGTCACCGGTTGAAGTCATCGTAGTACTCTCTTCGTTTTCTCCTAGACCCATTGTTGACCCAATGTGGGAAGAGTGGGGTCGCGACGGCCAATCAAAACCGTTCGTGACATGTGTAGAGTTTGCCCCACTGCGGGAAGAAGTGCTACAGGTCTTGCCAGGATTTGGATCACAGCGAAAAGGTGACAATTCGTGCAACAGACTGAATTGTATCGTTTCTGCGCATGTTGCTTTGATAGCTAGCTGCATATACGCGTTCTGTCCTTTTGCGGCCAGGTACTTTTTCGCTCTTGCATCGTCATCGGGCCTGTGGCCTTAGGGCAGGCCGCGGCTGTCTTCATAGTTCACCAGTTGGAATCGTCCACAAACTCTCCTAGATTTGTTCCGTGACAGCTGGAGCTGACATGCTTTGACATTGGTTTGGCGCAATGATTTGGCGCAATGTGCAAAGAACCATGCTCATTGACATTGCAAGAATGTGACCAGGTGTCTATGCTCTAACGGGATTAACATTGGCCTGCTCGCAACGAGAAAAAGTCGGCGGGTATGCCGCATGCCAGTGTCTACATTGACCTCCTTTCATGTCTTGTACCGTTTTGTGTTAGAGCAATGACCATTTCGTTGGGGTCTTGTCGCAGGAGTAAAAGTGCCATGCTTTGTTGTTGTTGGTACATGCGCACTGTTCTTTTGCAGCTGTGAGTTCTTCGGCACGTGACAAAGGATATCGTAATACATACATACATACATACATACACACATACATACATACATACATACCATTTTACCTTCTCGATCTTTCACCACCTCCTTTGTCTTTCCTTCCTTCCCTGTCCCTGCTAAAACCATTGAAACTCATTTTAGGAAGAAGTTGACTTGTGGGGTTATCCGGTCCTTTAATTCAGTTTTTGTAGTGCTTTGGGGACCAGTACGTTGGGATAGTATCTAAAGGATACAAGTCAGAGTGTCTGACATGATCCCACCTAGGCGGGCCTGGGCAGGCTGGTCAGGCTGGAGCGACCAGCTAACCAAAGCAAAACCTGCGAGCTAGCAGGTCACTGACCTTTAGAGCTTGAAGAAGGGAAAAGCTGAGCTGTGTGTTGAGAGTAGCATCTGGGTGGAGAGAAATGATAATTGTTGTCACACACAACCTTTGGAGAGAAAATGTGTTTTTTTTTACTCAGCTGCAGCATCTTAGAACGCTAGATATTTGAAGTGACAATACCATTTGCTAATGCACCACCTCTAAGTTTGATAAACGCAGTCTTTTGGAGAGTTCGGGTCAAGAAATAATGTTTCGGGGAGTTGAAACCACTCGAAAGAGTGGGTCGAAACACTGAACCTTTACAGGACTCAGTCCCTCTTCATGACTCAGCAGATGCTGGGCCAGAACTCGTTGCCCCAAGGGAACAGTGTGGGTCATGCTATGTCAGGCCAGTACGCAGATGCCAATAGATGCCAATAGATGCCAATAGATGCCAATAGATGCCAATAGATGCCAATAGATGCCATTCTGAAATGTGATAATCCCATCCTCCGAAAACATCCGAAAACTGAGTACCCAATATCAGGGCCAAAAATGAATACAGTAGACTGAATAGACAGAATAGATCCAATACTAAACCAGGGGTTCTGGGGTTGTACTTAATATTCAAGTGAAGAGATGTATATGTTTGATATAGAGAGGCATGTAGTAGAACCCATACTTTCTTAATCTTTGATGGTTGATATCGGAAGCATCATTTGCGAATTGGATGGGGGTTCCAAGGATCCCTAATCTCGAACTGTTCCAGCGCTGGCCATTTGTGAGGTTCTATCCTTACAGGAAATCATTTTTAGTGCGAAAATCCGGAAGTGTAAGCTGAATTGTGACTGACCAATCTGGCTGAATAAGAACGTCACCGGCACATCGCCATGGCGGTGGCTCGGGGGAGTCATCCCCAAACGACCTTATTTCAACGGCAACTCTTTCTGGCGACTAAGGAAGCTGTTGCAAGATATGAGCCCGCAGTTGCAAGCAGAAGTTTGCACGGAGTTGCCACTCAGCTGGATCAGGGAACAGCGGAGTCAAGTGGGAAAGCTGTTGCCTGCTGTTGGAAGATTCTGATTCCGAGTTCTGAATGAACCTGCTGTGGAATGAATTGACCTCACTGAAATGTTTCTCACATAATGTTGGCTATTGATTAGTGTAGGGCCCCCCCTAGCAATTTTGGTCTACTCAATAACTCGGCATTTTCTTGGGAACCAGGTCTGGGGAATTCAGGATGATAAACTTAAGGAAGGATTTCAATTGACATCAATCTACTTTCAATTGATTTTCCTTTTAAACTTCAAAGAAAGGATTTCAATTGAAATCAATTTACTTTCACTTGATTTTCCTTTTGAACCTCAAAGAAATCGATTGATAAGAAAGGATTTCAGTTGAAATCAATTTACTTTCAATTTATTTGAATCTAGTTTCAATTGATTTTCTTTTTAAATCCCAAAAAAATGCCCCAGAAGTTGTTGTGCACAATAAGGTAACATCCAAACAATTACATTATTGAGGATCTGGGTCACCCATGGGGTACCCCCTTGAAAAATTGTTTCGGTGCTGTGTTTTTGATAAGGGTTTATTAAGGCATAATTGGTTCAGAAACCTTGCATTTTCAAGGCTTTAACATGGATACGGCTTTCTAAAGTAAATGGACCCAAATGTATAAAGGTGGATAAAGCTCCTTCTGAAAAAAATGGATCCGAGAAAAAACTTCTCACAATAGAGGCCCACCCCCCCATTCAGAAGATACTCAATAATTTTTGAATTTTTTCTCACAATAGAGGTCCGTGACACTAATCGGTATACTACATTAATTAATTTGCTTTGTGACTTGCTGGCTATTTTCAGTGCACCTCTGTGAATCTTGTTTTCCAATGTTTCCCAGCTGTCATGCTGCGGTTAAGGAACTTGCGGTGGATGAACAAGGTGTCATTTTTCCGCGATTTTTCACTCCATATTGCGAGCTTGGAGGAGCTGCCTGCCTTTCAGTGAGTAAATGTCCCAGTTGGAGGAGTTTAGAGATGTTTAGAGATCATCGAGATCACCTGTGGATGGTTTGTGGGAATATCATGAAATATGAAATATCCATATGATTATCCCGATTTATCGTGATTTATCCCTCTAGTTGGGGGATGTTCACACATGTCTGCCAGAATCTGTTGGTTTCTCACTTGGCCACAACTCATCCACAGCCATGATCAGTCATGTCGGGATTTCGGCGCAGGATCAGGAGATCCATACCCTTCAACATCGCCTCTCATCGCGCACGTCTTGCAGGTCTTGCAGTTATAGACCCTGCAAGTATACAACAATGGGTCCTTCACCCCATTGAACATATTTGACGATGCTGAAAGTTCAAAGATTCGAAGATAGTTCGGTGTGGGACCTTTGTTGTCATGTTCAGCACCCCTCTAAAACTTGAGGGCATTGTAAGGTACCTCTCAACAGTCGGAGATATGCGAGCAGTCATTTCCTCTTACAGCAGCAAAATTTGAACCTGGAGCTGAATGCTGAAAGTTATTGTCACAAACCACCGAAAACTCAGCAATAAACCCAGCAATAAACCTTCCATTTGGGGCTGAGCTTCACCACCCTTTTTTGTGACACTGGGCACTGGGTATTGATTCCTGGATATTTTTAGTGGGCTTACCATAGTTTACCACAACAGTCATGATCATGGTATCCCTTGGCCATTCGCCAGTATTACAAACGAGATATCCGCAGTTCAAAAATACTCACACTTGCCATGGATATAGTACCTGTCGCACGAGTGCACAATTTGGCATGATTTGGCCATCTTGAATTTGATATGACCCATGTTGACCCATTTTTCTTGGATGGCAAATGGCTTCTTAGATGGGCCATGGAGTCAGTTAACTGGTTTGTAAGTAGGATATGATATATCTGGGTAACCCAGGTGTGATGAGTTACAATTAACCCACTGATTGTATAACTAGCCTCTAATGAACTAGCCATGAACGCCCATCAAAGACATCCTGGCCTCACCGAGGCCTTTGCATCGCAGACATCTCGAGGCAGTTGAAATGCACAGCCTTCGCCCAGGCCGAAAGCTTTGAAACTGAGCCGCTTGGTCGATGCCATGGTCAGTTCTGGCTTTATGGCTGAGTGTTCCAAATGGCAGCAAGTAGCCGTTTGATCTTCTAAGGCATTTGTATATCCTCTCCCGCGGTTTAGTGGCCTTGAATCACCGCGTGGGCTTCGATGGAGCAGTTTCTCGGTCATGATCTTGGGGATTGCGGAATTGAAAAGGTAGAACAAGGGATTGACACAGGAAACGCAATGGACTGTGCAGAGGTTGGAAAGAGTTCAGCATAGTTCAGCTTTTGAAGACTACACTTATCCTTTCTACTTCAGCATCTTCAGCTTTTCTTCAGCTTCGGATCATGTGGTTTCATTTCCTTGCGCTAATTCAATCAGGCAATTCAACCAGGCATTGTTGAGCCAAGGCTACGGCAATCTCGGGCTCACCT